AAGAGCAATGGCTCTCACTTCCTATTGAACTGATAGACCGCATAATTGAAAGCATCACACATCGCTGTTTGTGCTGTATTGCTTCTAGAGGCAATCATATTCCATATTAAAGGTACTTTTTCTATTGCAAACCGATACTTCCAATTTGTTTATTTTATACATGTGCTAATTTCTATACTACTATTAATGTCTGATAATTTCTTTTTATGTTGTTTAATACCTTACTATGTGTTGTATATTGTGGGTAAGTTTCATAAAATTCCATGTGTAATTTCTTGAGTTATCGCGATTTTTGTGAATTTTCCTTAATTTATGATAACCAGTGTATATATATATATATAAACATCTGAAGTTAAACCTCTTTAAACATTACAGAAAACAGTAATTCATCTGAAAGTCTAAAATTTAAATTTGGATTCTGTTTGTTTTCTGAATGTTTATTTGATGTCCAGTTTTTATATTGACTATTATAAATGTGTGTTCACCCTCTAATTTGTGATTTTTTTCTCATTAGATGGGTGAATACACATCTTATGCGAAGTTATGGACGCGGACACATGAACCTTTACAAGGTTAGTTGATGTTCTGTTGTTGAAGGTAGTTTTATGTTAAAAATCTAACTATGTTTATAAGAAATTTATATTTTTCACACTACAGTCTTATTAGTTTTATATGTTTAACACTATTAGAAAAATTCAACATTGTGCATGGTGTTGATGCAAAGTGTTGGTACCTCAAATCATGATATAGAGCACATTATCTGCAATCTTAGAAAGATGTTAGAATAAACCACGTTTTTAAACTTCTTGAGTCATAAATTTGAGCAATACCTAGTTTAAGTATGACAATTTGATACAACACTAGCGCTAAATTAAGATTATAGTATATATGAACGGTTCTATGGTTCATCACTAATTTCTATTGTGAGAAAAAAAAGTATGGTTTAAACTACCAGAATATTGTTGAATTCGTCGTGTTGAAACTATTGTTTAACTTTCCATAGAGAATAATTTATTATATTATTTATATGCGCAATTAATTTCGGAAATGATCGAAAACATAGCAAAAAACAATGTTGAAATTCATCTGACGACATACTTCATTTATTTAAATTTAGTGAACATAAATAACTCGGGAAGTTAATATTTGAAATGATCTAAAATGTAACAAAAACAATGTTTAAAATGCTTTTGTGTAATAATTGCTTGTGTTAAATTGCTTGTGTTAAATAGTTGCGTTAAATTGTGTTTTGTGTTAAATTGTTTTTGTGTAAAAGATTGCAGTAGCGCCATCTGATAACATATTTTATAACTAATCTTTAAGTTTGGTGAAAATAAATCACTCGTGTTTTTAAGCAGAACGCAGCAAATTATGGATATTTAAGTCCTTCTGTATTATTTTTTTCAATTCTTTGCTTATTTCAGAGATATTAGATATAAACCAATATTTATTATAAAATTTTTTAACTTTTGAACGTTTAAAATTTATTACTCATTTTTTAAAAATATTTAATACTTATACACTGTAGTTTGACTGTATAATTTGTTTCGTGCGAAACCTGAAGAAGTCAATTGCTTTAATAAAACTTTCTATTAATAGATTTACTTTGTTCCCAAACAACTTTAGTCTATCATATATTTTTATTTGAGTTTGCTACTTGAGTCATTTCTTTAGAAATGAATGCAAGGATTTAATTGGTACGCCAATTTTTCTAATGAAAAACCAATCTTTGTAATGTCAATCCAATAACTATGATCTTGTTACAAGCTCATATCGTTGTTCCCCGAAAAGAAAATATCTTGAATGCATTATCGATCAAAATGTTCTAAGAACCCTTAACTTTTGAGTTAAAATCAATGAAATAAGGGCACCCGATAAAAGTAAGAATGTATGTTGGTGTCAAAACTGTCTGTTAGTTCTGTTGTCAGCAGTGATCAAGCCTTTTTGAGTTATGAAACCTGAAAAATATTTTAGATTTAAAGACATTAAGTTCAAAGCGTCATTTTTATGCACAAAAATCGGTACTGTGTTTGACATTTATGTGACATTTTTAAAAGATTTTTTGTATTATCCAGAATTTGTATATTTTTGTCTATGAGTAAAAGACTTAGAAATTTAAAATAATTGCATAATAAATGATTTTGAATAGCGCTCATAACATTTTGGTTTTCTTAATTGAATAATGAAGATGCATTAATTAGTTTTGAAAAATGATTCAAGTAGAAGTTGTATCATAATTTATGAAAGAGAATTTAGTAATTTAATGAAGTGTGTTAAAGAAGAGAAAATTTACTAATAATAGTAAACAAAAATTTAACGAAATAGTTTTTTTGTTTTAATTTTCAAGTACAAATTTTTTCTTTTTTATTGTGTGTAAATGAAATTTTGCATTGCTGTTAATGTTTCTTAGGCAAATTCATAGTGATTTTAAATTCAGAGATTCTGATGCATGAACTATTTTAGTACTCGTTAGAAATTTTTATTCTATATCTAACACATGAAATTGAATAATGCAATAAAATACGTAAATATATATTTGTTTGTAACCAAAAAAGCTAAGGCTGTCAAAGTTTAAAATGTTTAAAAAAATGAATCTACGTCCGAGTTTTCATATGAGGAAACATTGCTAATATTTTTGAAAAATGGATTGAAAGAAAATGCTATCAAGTTTGCTATTTCATATTTCTGAAAGTCTGTAGCTTCAAATGCATTAATTGAAGTATATTCAAACATTGTTTGTAATTTTCAATTTGTGAGTAAATATTTAAATTCTAAACATTTATAAATACTTTTATGTATCTGGGTTGCTCTTAGTAACTCTATAACTATCTCTCCCTAGTAACTCTATACATCTATCCGCTCTATAACTCTATTTTCAATAGAATCGGTTTAAATAAAAATGCAAGAAATCTAGCAGAAATATATAATTAGTTTAATATGTAATTTAGAATAAAAATTTAAGCAAAATTTTTTGTCTTTTTTTTATCATTTTTCTACTTCATTATTTGATTATTATAATTAAAAATGCAATAAAGTAAATAATAAATAACTTAATAAATGTATTATGTTTCTCAAATTAATAGCGGCAATTATATATAGTTTTAAATTCATATAATAAATTACACTATAATTTATTCATAAATATTTTAATTAAGAGCATCCATATTTTTTTTTCTTTTCCAAACATTTTTATTGTAATTAGTATAAATTAACTAATAACGAAAATGGTTCATAGGGGAGATGATAAAAAGTACATGAACTATTTTTAGTACAATCATTAAAATTAGAAGTACATATAATTGTTTCTTCCCCACTAACATTTTCTCCTAATTTATTATAGTTGATGGTAACCTATCAATGGCGGCAATGAAAGCAAATAGCATACATCTAAAATCTGTGATAGACAGGTAAGATATGTTATAATAAAAACTAAAATATTTTACATCTGGTTCGAGAATATTTCTCAGTCAATAGAATGTATACTGTTCTGAATAAATGTTTAAAAACTACAACATCTATGATAAGCAAGTATTTTATATTATAGTACTTGTTATATTCATGCTTGTTAAAATTAATAGTATTTTATTTAGGAATTTTTAAACTGAATACTATAAAATACGTAACTAAAAAATACGAACTTAAAAATACAAACTAAAAATACGTAAAGTTTGCTGTAGTGAAGAGTGCTCCAGTTTCTTTATTTATTTTTAAATGACACCTGTGAGATATAGTTTAAAAAAATAAGGCGCGCTGTAACCTTTTCAAAATATTCTCTCATGCAATGCTTGTTTTAAGGAATAGTATTTAATTAAATAATTTAAAACAATTCTAAATCTCTAGCAATGCTTGTCAAATTGAATATTATGTCTGCATTAAGTATTTAACAAAAACATGCACAATTTGTGGTAGACAGAAAATATTTCAGGTATTAATATTTTAAGAAGGAAAAATTTAACATAACAAAAGTAGTAATTCATTTAATTAACTGAAAAATTCATAATCTCAAATAATACTTGCTAAACCCAATAGTATCTCTATATAAACATACTATACGAAATATGAGATGGATAAATCAGATAATTATGTACTGAAATTAAAATGTATTTAAACTAGTTTCTGATTATCTTATTGAAGATAATTTTTACTTTGTGCTAGGTAGGAACAAATCAAAACAAAATGAATAAAGCACAAATAATTAATGGACTTAAAATGAACATGCTAATAGTTTCGATTCTATAACAAAAATAACTTTTAGAGTTGAACCACTTTTTTGAGGCTTAAAAAGTTGTTTGTTTTTAGAAGTTGTTAAAGATTCGAAAATGTAGTATGTCTTCTTCTGTTCCTTTGTTTGTGCTGCATCCAAACTGTTTTGATTTATTGGGAATATCTGTCACAAAATGCACAAATATTAAATTGAATTGTATTTTAGTTAAATGTTTTGATTAGTTGAAATAAGAATTCCATAACTATATTTTTTAAATGATCCATCTGCAAATATATTTTTTAAATTTTTATCAGACATTTAGAATATATATAATTTTTTTATCGTGTCCATGGGCAGTTAAATGACCTCGTGTGCCTTCAAAACTGCATTCGCTAGCTTAATATCATTACTGTAGAGGATCTCACGAAGTTCTGAAGCCAGTGGCACCATACCCAGTTGTAAAACAAATGGGGTAAGGGCTGGGCACTCGAGAATGTGATCCGGGGGATGTTAGATATCGGTGCAGTTTCTGCAGGAAATATAGGTTCTTATTTTATCGGGAAGAATTTTCATCCATTTAAAGTGGTTTGTTCTTATTCTTGTAATAGAATATTTATTAATTAAATATTTTACATCTTTAATTTAATTAAATAAAGTTGGCTCGAGATTATTTCTCATGCAATATTGATTAAAATGAATTTTTCTTAAGTTAAATGTTATTTTTCAAATACAAAAGCTTGACAAAATATTAATATTCTATTAAAATGTTGAAAGAAATACTAAAGCTTAAACAGATAGGTAATACATAATTTTACAAAACGAAAAATATATTTTATGAATCGAGATTATCTCTCACGCAATGCTTAGTAAAATAAATAGCATTTCAGTTAAATATTTTAAAAAGGCAACATCTCATGCTGATTTTATAAAAATAAATACTACTTCCCCATTTTTTTTTAAAAGCGGAATCTGTATTAGGAATGTAAAATATATGTTTAAATTAATTGATGTGGCTGGAGATTATTTCTCATTCAATGTTGTTTAAATTGAATAGTGTTGAAGTTATATCTTTTAAAAATTGCAAAACTTCTCTCAAATCTTGACAAAATAAGCAATATTTCATTAAAATATTAAAAGAAATACTAAATCTTGAGCAGACAGGTAAGATATATTTTGACAAAAATGAAGATATATTCCGTGATCCGAGATTAGCTCTCACGCAATGCTTGTTAAAATGAATAGTACTTCGTTGATATCACCAGACAAAGATTGTTTCCTTTAGTCCAATTGACATAGTCTGCATCCAATTTTCTACAAATCACTGGTGCATTCTTGCGAAGGGTCAATTTATTATCTATCGGTTTAGAACTCTCAATCCTTTCCACTGATTGGTCCAGAATCTCTTCTGGATATTGACAATCGTTTGTAAGCAGCTTTTCCCGATTGGGGAATCGATCCTGCAGAATATATCTATCTGTATTCATAGGGAAGGAAATTTCCTTATTTAGATCACGCTGGTTGAGTTAAACGTTGTGATTGCTTTTAGTATGATTCGTTCTTTTATTTTTAAAGGAGATAATTATACAGAAGGGAGTTGCGGGTGATGTATAATAGAGTCATATTCCCATATATTTCTGTCTAAGATTCTATAAGGGTTGGAGATAAATTTTCCTTTATTTAGTGATTTGAAAATGGAACTAGTTTAGTAACTTATTTTATCTGTATTTCCTCCTTTGATTATTTTGTGAAATATAATATTATTTGAACAATAGCTGAATTTAGCTTAAAATATTAATAAGTCAAAAGTTTATCGCTATTATTAAATATGGTTATACTTTATAAATGAATACTCTTTTATATATTATATGAAGTTTAAAATAAAATATTCTGTTTTTAATTTATTTATTTTTTGAATTATTGATTTACATTCATGATACAAGAACAAAAGTTAGCATTGAAATTTACCTCGTAAAATTGGTGTTTTAATGTTTTTTTTTTTTTCATTTAAAAAACATTCTCAAATTATTACGTCTTTAGAGTAAACTATTTCGAAATATAACAACATTATTGTAGAAAATAATAAATTATATTGAAGAAAGAAAAATTATTTGCATAACTCTTATTGACTATTCACATAAACCTTAAGTTGCGTTCCACATGCATAAATTGTTTACTAAATAAAATTAAACAATCAGAAATTCCTTTCTTGCGAAATTCTATCTTCCTTATTCTATTTAGTAAAGATATGAACTTACAAAAATTATTAGAACATTCTAAGGGGAACTATGTCTTCCTAGTATTTATAACAACAATTATTGGGGGCTAATAAAAAATAAAATTTTTTAAACAACAAATCAAAGAGCATGTAAATGAAGAATGTTAAATATTCTTTATTTTATGGTTTCTAAATTTCAATATGATATCTGAAATAATATATGAAAAATCAAGACTTGGGTCAATATTTTAATTTTTTAACTATACAGTTGAGGGAATTTTTTTTCTTTATTTGTTTTTGTATTGAGGATACATTTACATAATCTATTTATTTTCTTTTAATAAACAATACAACATTAAAATAAAAATATAAATTTTGTGTTTAAACAAATTTAGCGAATATGTCACTATGAATTCCTAATAACATACTTATCTCTTATTACAAGAAGAAAAATGGAAGGAAAGAAAAGAAATGTCTAGTCTTTCTAAAGATCATCTTATTTTGATTTCATCTAACCATAAAATCAAATAAAAATCACGTCCAATCCTCAATAAAATCAGCCNATTTATTCACATAAATCTTAAGTTGTATTCTACATGCATAAATTATTTACTAAATAAAATAAAACAATCCGAAATTCGTTTCTTACAAAATTCTATCTTTCTTGTTCTATTTAGTAACTATATGAACTTATAAAAATTATTAGAACATTCTAAGGGGAACTATGTCTTCCAAGTATATATAACAACATCTATGGCGCGTAATAGAAAATTACACTTTTTTTAAAAAACAAAACAAAGAGCATGTAAATGAAGAATGTTAAATACTTCTTATTTTATGATTTCTAAATTTCAATATGATATATGAAATAATATATGAAAAATCAAGACTAGTGTCATTACTTTAATTTTTTAACTATAGAGTTGAGGGAACTTTTTTTTCCTTATTTGTTTTTATATTGAGGATACATTTACATAATCTATTTATTTTCTTTTAATAAACAATACAACATTAAAATAAAAATATAAATTTTGTGTTTAAACAAATTTAGCGAATATGTCACTATGAATTCCTAATAACATACTTATCTCTTATTACAAGAAGAAAAATGGAAGGAAAGAAAAGAAATGTCTAGTCTTTCTAAAGATCATCTTATTTTGATTTCATCTAACCATAAAATCAAATAAAAATCACGTCCAATCCTCAATAAAATCAGCCTCATCAATCTTCTTCTTAGAATAGTTTTGCGATACCCACTGAAGACCTTTTTTCTCTACTTTTCACTCTTTCAACCCATTCCTTCCAATGAGAAAAAGTGAAAGAGATCCAACCGATAGACCAAAACACTATCGGTCAATTCAGCCAACTTGCTGATTGAATCTATTGTCATCCGAGAACTCGGACATCCATCCTTTTGTAACACCCCGTGTGATATTATTCTCCGTGCGAGCACCCCTATTCGTTCTATCTTGATTGCTATTGATCGTTTTGTTTGCGACAACCTTCGAATTCCCCACTCACTTCAATATAATCTCGGCATCAGATTCTTTGATAGGATGCAAAGTAATGTAGACTTCTACCTATGTAATCAGAACTGCTTAATTGCGTAGGAGTTGGCCTTTCGTAGGAACATGCAAAGACAACAGTTTGCGACAATGTGTAACTGTTTTAGGAAATGGAATTTGCTGGTAAATCGGACACGAAATCAGTTTGGAAAATTGCGTTGCTACGAAGAAGCAATTGTCTTGTAATGAAATACATGTAATAAAGAAGCTCTTCTAAAAATATATTGTATGATAAAGTATTGTGTTGTATATTGTATATTGAAGTGATACGACGTATTTTTAATTTACACGTGGTGATTTTCCGAATTGTTTGCAGTAAATTGCATTACATTATTTTTAGTATCGTATTGATTGTTGATGAAAGTCTAAAAATATAACTTAGCGCAGAAAATATAAATTTTTTTGTCTGATTTTTTGTATTAC